AAAAAATGTATAAATGTATGCAGAGTTCTAAGGATGAAATAAAATAGGATCTAAAAGCCTAAAGAACACATAACGGTCAGTCAAAGAGGGTGTATAATGTGGTTGCAAATAGAAAGCCACAGGTATTCAATGTACAGCTAAATTCCCACCCAGGAGCTCCAGAGTTGCTTAGAAACACAGAATTGTCAGTAACCAAATAATTTTTATGCTGTGTTTTGAGAAAGGTTCTAAAACTACAGCTGAAAAAAACCTTGAATAGTTTTGCTCACATGTACTTCTTTTCCATTAAATATCGTTTCTCCCTTTTATCTGTTCCCTTTTCTCTCCTACCAGTAAAGAAGGATGAGAAAAAGGGTATTCCTGGAAAACTGAAGTCATGGCTATTATAATACTTTTGTATATTTTTCTCAATAAAAAATAAAAAGCCTACAAATGACATTAAAGTGATGTTTTTCCCCAAGTAGCTTAGATTTAATAGAAATACTATTGACATGTCCTTCGAGTGTCCCACTTTAAGTCCACCAAAATTACCAGGAGAGGAAGAGAGGCTGGCAAAGACAAGATAAATAAGAAGGTGCTGAGCAGTAATGACAGCTGCAGCTGAAAAAAGACATAAAACTTTCTTTATGGTTGTATGGCAAGGCAAAAAACATAAATGGAGGGAAGGTGGCTTCTGTAATAGCTGTGTAATAGTGTAGCTCTGGAAATTCTTCAGGTCTGAAATTATTTCATGGAAACTACGAAAGTAGCTTATGCAAAAAAAATATTTGCCAAATAGAAGCTCTAACCTAACTAGGAGTTATATGGCTGAGTTTCCTATGGCAATGGTATATGGTATATGGTATATGATACCAGTTGGCATTTCAGGATGGACAGTAGGTGCAATTTCCTCTTTTATTACAGATTTGCTCTCAATCTGCCACAGGACTGTTGCAGGAGCTGTGCTCTGACCCTTATCCTTGGAGCAGGGAAGCAAGCAATGATTCCCAGGATATGCTCCCCTCACAGACACCTTGGGCCGGTCCTTAGTGCCAATTGTTACTCAGTGAAGTGTCACTACAGCACATGTAACAACAGGAACTTCTCAAAGGCATAGGTTAACTCTAAACCTGAGACAATAATATAGGAAAAACTATTTGATTTCAGTGTGATGTACATTAGGATCACTGCAAATATTAAAAATCTTACCTCAGGAAAGGGTTCTTGTACTTTCAGAGAGGTTGAAAGTCAGTTGCTTGGCTTGGGATTCCAATTTGGCTTTTGTAATATGAGGAGAGATATTTGTAATGCAAATCACCCTCAAAGGAAAGGGAATGATCCACTTTACTGAAACAACAAATCCTGCCATAATCTTGCTAACACCGTAAAACCCAGTTTACTCAAGCATTTGATGCATTTTTGTCACTATGTGTTAAGCTGACAAGACAGGATTTACAAAATGTTCCTGGTAGGATGGGACAAAAAGCAAAGAAAACTGAGAAAGGCTGTGGAACTTCAATGAGGCTTTTGTGGAGCACTTAGTAATGAGGTCATTGCCTCGTTTTCCTCTGCCCACTTTCAATGCTTTTCCAGTGCCTCTTTAGCTGTGGCTGGGATCACTGGTGTTCTCACATGAAAAATTAGCAGCTCCTCCCCACCATGCAGTCTGTGGAAAAATTCATTTAGGAGTTTGGTGACCTTTTATTCCTCAGGAGCCATCCCAAAGATGACAGTTTGCTTGTCTCCCTTGATCTTTCCCTCTGTAGTCCTGTTATTCCCTTGGCAGCACATCACATCTATCTTCTTGACTTAGGTGGGCCTGTCATAACCTGCAAGGGAAGTTTTCCAACTTCTTGTAAAGATTTGGATTTAAAAATAAAATCACATTGCTAATCTGTATAAAAGGCTGAAATCTTGTAAGCTTCTGTGAATCAAACAGTTGAAGGGGAGAAAACAAAACAGCTGAAATAAAAAATTAGCCCTAGCAATTATGGTAAGTTTTTATCATCTTGTTATGCATTCATTTAAATTTTTAAACAAAATGCTTACAGCTGAAAAGTTTTACTTATTTTAGGAACGAAAATGTGGTATTTTTGAGCATATTGTTTCAAAATTAAACATTCAGAGGAAATTTCATAGAAATTTCAAAGAATTGGCAGCATCCACTATAAATCTGAATATAGATAAAGAGAGGGATGTGTTGAGGTTGGTTTTTTTTTGGGTAAATTTCCCCATTAAATGTATGTGCAGACATTTTGGAAAAATAGTGATTTCTTATGGTCCTTGGGTGATGGAACTTCTGCACTAAAGTTCAAATGAAATACTGATACATCAGTGTTCTTTCAAAAACAAAAGCCCCTATACCTCATGCTCAAAAAATGTGTTCTATATATCTCTCTCACAAAAATCAAAACTAATAATAGACGAAAAAAACTAAATAATAAATATAAAAAATCTAATGAAATAGCAAGATTTTATCCATTTTATAGTGTATTGATTATTTTACCAGCTGTGTAAGGCAAAAATAACCTCTCTGGAAACTAATAACATGCTGAGTAAAAAAGGTTTTGTTTCTAATATGGATGCACAAAGAACAGAAGGAACACGTAGCACCTTCCTGAACACATGGATAATAATTACCTAAGAATAGAGGATATGCCTAAAGGCAACAGGAGGATGATTAATTATTATTGAAGAAAGCTCAACAGGTATCTAGGAATAAAATTTGTGGTTTGTCACATGCTGGGTCTAGAAAACAGCAGAAAGTGGAACAAAGAGGAACACTGTGCAATATAGTGAATACAAGACCTGCATCTTTTTTTTACTTCATCTTTATCTAGGCATGTAAAGGCTAGAATAGATAGGAAGACAAGAAAGCTTATATTATCTTGAGATCCTGGTATAGAAATGATAATTCCTCCTATGGCAACAAAGAATTACTTGCAAAAATACCCACTGGTATTTCATTATTTTTAATAGTTTTACTCTGAGGATTTTTAGCAGTAAGTATACTCAGAAAAAAATAAGCATTTGTTTACAGGAATATCCTGACATAATGATAGTGTTCTTATTTTGTTGCTCTCTTGTATATGTTATGAAATGCAAAAACTTCCAAATATCTCCCACTCCAGTCATATTCTGTCTAAAGAATTAACTAGAGATTCATTTATGCACTATTTGAAATCTTCCTCAGAAAGGTCAGGTCCCATGAGAATTGATAATAGCAGTTTATTCAAAAGCATAAGTAGCTGTTTACATCACCTCTTTCACTAGTTGTGCAAGTTCTTGGACTAAATTAGCCTGGAATAGAAGTTGATGTCTCTATTTAATACATTTTCTTTTAGTAACATCTGGGGGACATTTGCTCCCACTTTGCTCCCTACACCAGTATAGAAAGCTTTGTTTGTGTGTGAGGAAGTGTTTCCTGCTTTTGCATGAACTATTAATTTCAGTTTCGTGGTTCAAGTTAAAATTAGCATATTGTAAATAGCTTGTTAGTTAGTTCCCTCTGGCAGCTGCCATCTTCTGAGTAGAGTTGCAGTTACTTTCAATTCTAGCAGTGACAGTACGTGCTGGCTGTGTGATGACTTAATATTAATTAATTAATTAATTGAATGAGGCTCATAATGTTTTATAGAACATCGCAAAAACGTGCATACAGTGTGATGTGAAAGATGCACAACAGAATACAGGTGAGTAATAAAAAAATATATATAAAAAGACTTTTGCATAGGCTCAAGGAGGTTCAGATGTTCAATTTGATATGATTATGACTGTTGCTACAGTTTAGTCTGATATTATGGGCTAGATGCAATATGTTTCAGGGTCAGCTGCTCCAGCCTTTCCTAAGCAGACAGGATAATTTAAAATCTGTGAATCTTTGTGAGGGATGGATATCATTAATTCATCAGTATAAGCTCCCTTCCCTACTTTGCCCCATCTTCTGTTATTAATTAGTGATGGATGCCAGGCTTTCCCAATCTGCTACTTCATGCTGAGGAGTGTTCTGCATTTCATCCAAAATATCCTGGAGGTGGGACAAAGCAGGCCAGACTGGATGGGGCCCTGAGCAACCTGTTCCAGAGGATGGTTCTGCCCATGGAACTAGCTGATCTTTAAAGTACATTCCAACCCAAGCCACTCTATGTTTCTATGAAAACTGTGGAGCTGGACTAGCACATGATAAGCAGCTGGTATCCTCCTGATAGAAATTTTCAAGTATATGTATAATTAGTGACTGTGACACTTATATCCTTATAGTTTTATATATTGAACTCTTAATCTACTTGTATTGATCAATTCTGCTTTAATCAGGATGCAAGAAAGAGGCTATAAAAATTACTTCATTAATAGTACATTTTAAAATGGGTCATTCACAGTGACAAGAGATGCTACACTTCTCAAACATACTTTTTCTTGCTGAAAAACTATACTGTTATTGAGGAGAGCTATTTATAGCTATGTTGTTCTGGTAACTAAAGTCGATCTGGTTGAATAATTTATTGCAAGGAGTATTAGCTGTGAATTTATTTCCATTTTCTCTTCAAAAATCATTCATGAAATAACTGATTCTTCTTGTGAATGAAGAATGTCAGTGCATGGGTTATTCTATTGAGCAATTTGCAGGATTCCTTCTGTCTATGAGATATTTTCTATTTGTATGTAGTTTCCTCCAGCATTCCTTGTTTTCCACGGGGTTTATTCAGCTGCCAAAAGCAAACTTGTTTCTTTTCCTTCAGTGGAAAACAGAAGTTTGAAAATCACATATATACTTTTGCAACAACAGTAGTACTTGCCTGTGGATAAAGGTCTACAGGTCAACCTGAAAAATAACACTTCCCCTGTCTACTGTACAAACAAAATTCCTTCCCTGAAAATTGTCAAAAAGATGTGGCAGTATTCACCAGAAACCTTGTAACTAAAGTATAGTTCAATTTTCATGTGCATGGTTAATTTTGATGGAATTCACTACATCCATTTTTCACCCACGTCTAACAGGATGTCATTAGTGGTGTGCAAAGGACATTAAATGAGAAATTCTGAAATGCTGTCACAAAGAGTCCATTTATGTCATGTACACTCATCAAAGTCTTTATGAAAAACTCCTCTGTACAGGAGTGAAGGTTCAAAGCAATGGGAAGGAAAATTGAAAGTGCCAATTTTATCCAGGCACCCAAATCTCATTCTTAGATGTAACATAGGTGCTTAAGACTTAAATCCTCAAAGATATTTTGGTTCTGACTTCAGAAGTAAGTAAGGACATAACACCTTTAAGAAGCTGAGCCTTACTTAACCCAAGTCTCTCTAAGGGAAAAAGATAATCAGATTCCTAAGTATTTGGCTTCACCTGGAGGTTTTCATATAATTATGAATTAGCTGAGAGCAAAAAATGACATAAAAGTGCACAGAGGAAGGAAGGCTTCTCCTCTTTAAAAGTTTTCATGTAGGAAAAAGTAATCAAGCAAAAATTCTGGTCTGAAACGCTACCCTTTACTGATGATAGAGTGGTGATAACACAGAATGGGGTTTCTTTGTTTCTTTAAATCCCATGAATAATTATTTGGTGTAATTATTTCACTTTGTTAATGTTATTTCTTAGAATCTGGTTATTTGCAGTAATGTTAACAGCAGGTTCAGTCCTCTCCAAACTATGCAGAGATGATTACATTTGAAATGCAAAATAAATAGTTCTGAAGATAATAGAACTGCTACATTGTGGTTTAATTGGTGCTCTATGTTCCCAGGCTCTTACTAAGGTTCAGATATTCTGTCCTAAACTAACTATAAACCAAGTATTTTCCTCCTAGTAATTAAGTTCTTTTTCAAAGACTTAACATGCTTACCAGAAGTTGCATTGGCCTCTCTGAAATTACTCATCAGAAACTAATAAAAAACCCATAATGCACAGTGAATCTCAGTGCTGTGCCATTAACATTGCAGCTTAAACCTTAATTAGATTTTGCTTTTGAAGACAGCATATTTCAATGCAATTTAATGGTTTGTTCAGTGACTTTCTTCTTTAGTTTAATTATGGCAGTTCTAAAAATAATTTTCTTCCTAAAACAACTAAAAGAGGCTGAAAGAGGTATTATTATTGCTTGATACTGGTAAAGGTAGGTGGGAAGAGTCTAATAAAGGATGCCAGTATGCTGTGGATACACAAGATCCTACAGTGCAGCAGTGCTGTTAGACCATGAAGTACCCTTTTGACTGCTGTGTGAAAAAACTGGAAAGCATCAACTTTTGTAGTACCCTAAACTCTTGAACTCTTGTCAATTAAAAAGCTCTAGTTCCTCTCTAAACAGATTTTAATTGTTGCCACTATAATAATACATTACTCTTGCATGTGTTAGATAAAAAATGCATTAGCAGATCATCTTTTGGGGCCT